TCAGACCACATTGCTAAAACTGCCCGGTCCTGCAGATTTGCTTTATTCAACATCGAGAAGATCAGGCCCTTTCTTTCGAAACATGCTTCACAACTCCTCCTTGTTCAAGCTCTTGTTCTGTCCAGGTTGGACTATTGCAATGCTCTCTTGGCAGCTCTTCCAGACAGTTCAATCAAAACTTTACAATTAATCCAGAACGCGGCAGCAAGATTAATTTTAACGAGCCAAAAAGAATGCACGTCACACCTCTGTTTATCAATTTGCACTGGCTAACATTACCTGCTCGCATAAAATTCAAGGCATTAATGTTTGCCTACAAAACCACCACTGGCTCTGCACCCCTTTACCTAAATTCATTGCTTCAGACTCGTGTGCCCATCCCAAAAAGGCACAAAATCACTTATACAGACTTTTAAAAATAAATGTTCCCTCCTGGTGGAATGACCTGCTCAACTCAATCCGAGTCCTTAGCCATCTTCAAGAATCCGCTAAAAACACATCTCTTCCATCTATATTTAACCCTCTAACTCTAGCACTCTCTATTCTAATTCTATTCTTTATTAAAAAAAAAAAAAAAACTTGCCCCTTTTAGACTTAAAAAACTAACACTAGCTTCTCTATTCTTTTTTTATTCTATCTATTTGTTTTCTTTTTATTTATTATACAATTAACAAAAGCAAAAAAGGCCTCTAACTCTAGCTTGCTCTATTCTTTTTCTATTCTATCTGTTTTATATTTATTTATTATATGATTTAAAAAAAAACATTGCTAACTGAGACTGGTTATAGCACTTGCATATTATTTTGTTGATTTTGATTGTTTCCATTTGTCCTCATCTGTAAGTCGCTTTGGATAAAAGCGTCTGCTAAATGTCTAAACTCTAAATGTAAATGTAAATTTCCTTCATTTTTATTGAAAACAAATGCCTTTCCGATGTGATATGAGATTTAAAAAAGGAGAAAAAAAAGTTTGGCAAAAGGCCGATTCAAACTTGTGTCGATCCTGTCAAAAATGACCACAGTATGCGCTTTACCATCTATGCCACTGGAGATGTAGTTAAATGATCGTCTTTTATAGTGTTGACTAGCCCAATCACACGGTGGTGGGCGGAGTTAGTGTAAATAGCCTCTGCCAACAAGGCGGCCTATTTGCACAGTATAAATAGACAATCCACAAAAATAATTACTTTATCCAGCAATTTCTTCTCTTCCATGTCAGTCTTTGATGTATCCATGTTAAAACACTGTAAAAATGCTACTGTAAAATCCTGTTAAATTGTTAACGGTAATTTCCCCTACAGTATACAGTGAAAAACTGTATTGGACATTACATTTAATTTTACGGTAGTATACCGTTTTTGGAAGTAAAAAAAAGAACATATAATTTACAGTGAATAACCGTAAATTGACATTCCCAGAATTCCCTGCATTACATTTCAAATTTAATGTTTTTTTTGTTGAAATAACGGTTTCTTATTTTGTTCTTATCAGTTTTGTACATTAGGTTTGTATGTTACATCTAATGTTGTTAAATTAATGTTTATTGCATTATTTCAGTTTCATGTGTGTTTAGTGTTTGTGTGAATGACACTGTGCAACTATATATGTTATTATTTAAAAGCTGCTTGTGATGAGCTTTGGTTCATCATGTGACTCTCATCACCACCTGCTTTTGGTGGATATCAGTGTATTACTGGGGTTTTCAACCTGTGGGGCGCGCAGGTTAATTCAAAGACATTCCCTTGAGGATTTATGAATATGAGTTAGCCATCCACTAGGGGCAATCTGACTCCCACTGCTAGTCGACAGTTAGAGCAGAGCTGGCTCGAGTATCAGTCACGCTTATTGACAGTGTAAGATGATTTACGGTTAGCCGTGTCGGAAATCCAACCACGGATTGGCATGTTGTTATCTCAGAAACAGGCTCAGCCATCACATTGAATCAGGTAAACTGGTTATATATTTATGTTTCAGTATAATTATGCACGCTATACCAGGGGTGGTTCTAAACCCTTTTTAGGTGGCGCAAGTGAAAGTAGACAAACTTGGGGGGGGGAGGGGGGCGCATGTCCTAAAAAGTTGAAAACCCCTGGTGTATTACAAAGGTACAAAACAGATTTCAGTACTTTAATAGGTTGGTATATTAACATTATATCAGGTAATGAAATTACGGTATTTCAATGTGAATTTAAGTTAAAACCGTAAAACCTAAAATATTGCTACCATATTTTTTACGGTAAAATTCTGGCAACCACAGCTGTAGGTCTTTTACCATCAATTTTACAGAATTTTTTTACAGTACCATGACGCATGCGTGTGATGCTGCGCCTTGTTTACAAGATGAGGAAGACACATGCTGTATGCAAGCTATTGAATTCTGCATTGATTGTGCTTTACGTCTTGGTGTAGTTTTTCAAATGGTGCTAAAGTGTGCATTTCCTGGATGCCTAAATCGTGAGAAACCAGTGAGAGTACGTAAAAGTACATTACCAACGCTGACAGATGAAAGACTTCCCTTTCACTCTTAGTATAGATTTAGAGCGAGTAAATGATTCAGAGCGACTGAAGCTATGGCTGCTGGCTGTTGAGCGGGATGTTTATTTACTGCTTCGATACGTCAAGCAAATGAGGTTGTGCAGTGAACATTGTTCACTAGACGACTTCAAACCAGGTCAAGGAAAGATATGACGATTTCTGGAATTTACAAAACACAGAAATATGAGTGGAAGCATCATGGGGAGATTGTTGAGGGTGTTCAGTTGCTCTGAATCGTCAGCTCCTGCGTCAGCATGTGAACGCGCAGTGGAGACTGACATGGAAGAGAGGAAATTGCTCAATAAATGTGTTGTTTTTGTTTTCTTTGTGCACAAAAAGTATTCTCATAGCTTCATAAAATTACGGTTGAACCACTCATATCACATGGACTATTTAACCAAAGTCCTTACTATGTTTCTGGGCCTGGGAACATTTCAGTTGCATTGCTGTCTATGGAGAGTCAGAAAGCTCTTGGATTTCATCAAAAATATCTTAATTTGTGATTCGAAGATGAACGAAGGTCTTACAGGTTTGGAACGACATGAGGGTGAGTAATTAATGACAGAATTTTCATTTTTGGGTGAACTATACCTTTACGTTTCAAAGTTGATTCATTAGTATGAGATACAACTGATGTATGATTCTGTATTGATAAGCTGATTGTGTTTGTCAGGATGTGGAGCAGGTTTCAGTGCGTGTGACTGATGGGACAGAAGCTCAGGATTCAGTCTGGAGCGTCAGAGATCAGAGATCCAGAGACACACAGGACTCAGAGCTCAGCCTCACTTTACTCTGTTATACTGACGCTCAGGATCATGAATCCACTGATCAAACCTCTGACTGTAACGCTGGAGAACAGCAGATGCTGCAGACGCCGCTGAAGATGTGCTCCGTCAAACTGGTGGACTGCAGGAACCTGATAGAGAGCCGAGGAGAAGAAACCACCGCAGAGGAACAACACAGTGATGAGGAAGAGGAGGATGATTATGATGAGAATAATGGGAATGATGATGATGATGATGAAGAATTCATTCCTCCAGGTGTGTTTCTTCCTTTTATGACACTTGAATGTCAGCAGAGTCTCTGCAGGATCAGGTTTTTATTGGCTGTTGGTCTCTGATGATCTGATCAGGTTTGAGTTAAGATATTCTGAGGTATTTGGGAATATAATGGCATTTTGATGGAGATTTTGATCTAGAATGTGTTTTTTTAAGAGAGACAGATTTGCTGTGCCTGTTAGTAAGACTGCACGGTTTGACCAAAAATCTAATTTCAATTATTTTTGTCATGATAGAATTATAGTTAAATTATAAAATCATGAAAGAAATACATTTCGATTGCAATAATGCTATTATACCGTAAAATTACATTATAAATATGGTGAAATGAGTGGTGAATTTTGCATTTCCAAACTCACTTTATCAATATGCCTATGCATGAGTTTATTTAATTAACTTGCAGAGTTTAAAACCCAGAATTTATTACCATTTTGTTCATTTCAGATGATAAAGGCTGTTCTTCTGATGGAGAAACAGACTTAACATCAAAAGATCAGCTGCAGACCAAGAGTTTCTCCTGCGACACCTGTGGAAAAACACTGAGTTCAGAGGGTAATTTAGCGAGACACGAAAGAAAACACAAAGAACAGAAAGACTTCACCTGTAGGATATGCAACACCAGCTTTCCTACCGCAGAAGAGAAGAGACTTCATTCAAAAGAGCACAGCGCGAAGAAGGAGTTTCACTGTGAACAGTGCGGGAAGGTTTTTTTCATTCATTCTAGTCTAAAAGTTCACTTGAAGACTCACGGTGAAAAGTCTTTCCACTGCAGCGAATGCGACAAGTATTTCAGCACCAAAGGAAATCTTGTTGCTCATAAGCGAATCCACACGGGAGAAAGACCATACAAGTGCCCTCACTGTGAGAAGAGCTTCAATCATGGATCTCATCTGAAGACACATGTGCGTTTGCACACCAATGAGAGGCCGTATCAGTGCAGTGAATGTGGGAAAACCTTCACAGACTCAAGCTGTCTAAGGTCACACCAGAAAATACACTCTGATGAGAAACTGTTTCAGTGCAAACACTGCGACAAACGATTCCGTCAAAGATCTAATCGGAATTGTCACGAGAGGATTCACACTGGAGAGAAACCATATCTGTGCTCCTACTGCGGGAAGAGCTTTTCTGATCCACGTTCTTTTGTATTTCATAAGAGAGTCCACACTGGAGAAAAACCGTATCACTGCAGCGTCTGTGGGAAGAGTTTCAGTAAGTTTGATACTTTACAAAACCACAAGAGGATTCATACCGGAGAAAGACCGTTCAAATGCTCACAGTGTGACAAGACGTTTGCTCGATCAGACATCCTTAAGGTCCATCAGCGAGTTCATACAGGAGAGAAACCTTACTCCTGCTCCATCTGCGGCGAGAGATTCGCTTATTTAGGTAGTTTTCAGACCCACCAGAACAAACACGCTAAAGAACAAACTGCTCCAGAATCATCAGAGTGACTTTCATCAGTCAATCTGGAGAAAAAAATGAAAATGTTCATTGAGCTCTTACTGCCAGTAGGGGGCAGTGAACTTTTTTAATGCGGTGGATTGGTCCAAGTGCTGTATCTAAAGTAGAGTAATGATTTTATGATAAACCAGACAGAACTATTAAAAATCCTCAAAATAAAATACTACAATAATACGAGCGCCTGGATTTCATAAGTCTGTTAATCATGTTTTATGTGGTGAAATGCATGAAGGAGAGTCACTGGCAAATACACCAGTTTTTCATTGCTGGACCGGTTTCTTTTAATCAAGAAAGAACCATGGTTTATTAATTATCCATTTCTTCACTGTTCTTCCAGAGCATTTATGCCGCCGTGTAAGGTAAGATATTTACTTGATAGAAACGAATCCTCTGGGAGGATAAGTTTGGTGGTTTTGTGGCAGCTACTTGAACTTCACTGTAATGTCAAATAGAATTAAAGATCAGATAGAATTAAAGTGTATGTTTATGGGATATTTGGAATTATGACCACACAAAACTGTCACAGCTTCTTTTAGCAGTTTTTAATACTGCCACATCATGGCTAGAAATGACTATTATTTCCTTTAATTTGCGTTAGAGAGTCAAAGATCATTTCAAGTAATGTTTGTGAATCTAAGGCTAACTGCACTGAAATTAGCATACTGTGAGTAGGAAGTACATGTTAATTTGAATTAGCTTAGCGACTGTTAAAAAAGTATGTTCTATTATAATATGAATGAGGATAGTATGAATGAAATTTGTATGTAGGTACTACATCTGCCGTGGAGTTACTGTCATGTGTCACTTAAAGCAGCACTGTTACACGGTGTAATGCCATATATGGCCTGTATCCTGTGATGGCATTGTTGTGTTGGTTCACGCGCAGTTCGCGCAGAGGCCTGTGAATAAAGTCGCAGATTGATTCAGCTCATGCTTGTTTATTGCATCTAACACAAACATGGTGCCAGAAGTGGGCACTAAATCCTGAACATGGCCTTGAACAGCATTCCCGCTCCCGAGGGCATGCGGATGTCCGGAGATATATCCAAAAATTGGGATAATTTCAGAGCAGAATTCGAGGACTATGAACTAGCTACTGGGTTAGTTGAGAAGCCCAAAGAGGTGAGAGCGGCAGCACTGCGGCGCTTAATGGGCAACGAATGTCGACGTATCTACAGCCACAATATTGTGTTGAGCGGGGCACAAACGAAAGATCCCAAAGCCATACTCGATGCCCTAGGTGACTACTTCAAGCCTGCGAAAAATGTGATCTACGAAAGATATATTCGGTTGTTGCAAGCAGGAAGTGGACGAGCCTATTGACCATTTTCTAACAAGGCTGCGGGAACGAGCATCAACCTGCGAATACAGGGAACTCAAAGATGAAATGATTCGTGATAGACTTGTCCTGGGCATTGCTAACGAGAACACCAGGCGGCGCCTGTTGCGTGAACGTGTGCTGACTGTCACAGAGTGTGGAAATATGCCGATTGGCAGAAGCGACAGAACAATGTGTAAAAGCAGTCGACAACACAATCAGTGACAGTGTGAACGTCGCACAAGCACAGAGACTGAAACTCCAGGATGGCGAAATGAACAATGAGCAAACGCTCAGGACTGTGTTGCAAGTATTGTGGGGGCGGTCACAAAAAAGGCAGAGAGCAGTGTCCCGCATATGGAAAGACGTGTCGATCATGTGGTGTATTGAATCATTTCGCCAAGGTGTGTAAAGCCCGACAGAGAGCCAACAGGACAGGCAGAGTTAATGTAATGATGGATGATGGTCAGGATGAGCAAGGGCCCTACTGTGAGGGTTGGCTTTTCACTGCTGAGGAATGCATTGACACAGTAAAGTCCCCAGGTCCAAGATGGTTCGTTACCCTGACACTTAATAAAAAAAAGCAGGCCTGTCAGCTAGACACGGGAGTGACTTGTAATGTAATGAGCCGCATAATCAAATAGGAACTGGATCCTGAAAGCCCCCTGCAGCCGAGTACAACAAGACTGAAATTGTATTCTGGTGCTACAATGCCTTTCCTGGGGAGATTTCACACAGAATGCACCATAAAGGGCACCAAACACAAATTAGTCTTTGAAGTGGTAGAAGCCGATCAAGAACCAATACTCTCTGGTGACACATGTCAGCGGCTAGGACTCATGAAATTTACCATCCCGGAGGAGCTTCACAAACTTGTTGCATGCTCAGACATGCCTCTCACAAAGCAACAGTTAGTTTGCAGTTTCAATGACGTGTTTAATGACCCAGTCGAGTCTGTCCCAGGAGAGATCCGATTTGTGCTCGACAGCAGCGTGTCACCAGTGCAATGCGCACCACGGAACGTGCCGGTGGCCTTGAAAGCCAGAGTAAAAGAACAGCTCGATAAGTACATGAGAGATGGGCACATCACATCTGTCACTGAACCTACCCCATGGATCAGCAACATGGTAGTCATAGCCAAGCCAGACAAAGTAAGGATATGTATAGACCCAAAACACCTGAATCAAGCACTACAAAGATCGCATTATCACATGCCAACACTGGAGGACATTCTGTATAAACTACCCAAAGCACGTCTGTTCACGCTGGCGGACGTTCGTGATGCTTTTTTACACTGCAGCAGACTGGACAATGAGAGCAGTTTAATGACAACTTTCTGGACACCATGGGGGCGGATGAGATGGTGTAAACTGCCTTTCGGCATTTCGGTGGCACCTGAAATCTATCAACGCAAGCAACACGAGCTGTTAATGGGACTCAGAGGCATAGAGCCCATGGCGGATGACATACTGGTCGTTGGCTGCGGTGACTCGGACGCAGAAGCCGAGTTAGATCACGACAAAAATCTCCGCGCACTAATGGAACGCTGCAGAGCCGTGAAACTCCGACTGAGTGAGAAAAAGTTGCAATTCAAACTGAAAGCAGTGCACTTTCATGGGCACATATTATCAGCGGAAGGCTTACGGATCGACCCAGAAAAAACAAAAGCTGTTCTGGCAATGCCGACACCACAGGATGTGAAGGCTTTTTAACGCTTCATTGGATTTGTGACATATCTGGCCAAATTTCTCCCACGGCTCTGAGGTGTGTGAGCCGCTTCGCAGACTGCTGGACAAAGGCGTTGCGTGGCACTGGCTTCCCAAACATGACGAGGCGGTTCAAGAAATAAAACGCATGATTACGGACACGCCCGTTTTGAAGTGCTACGACATTGACAAGCCAGTGACAATACAAAACGACGCCAGCAAGAACGGCCTGGGCTGCTGTCTGCTTCAACAGGGGCAACCTGTGGCATTTGCCTCTCGGGCACTCACTCGTACTGAACAAAACTATGCCCAAATCGAGAAAGAATGCTTGAGCATAGTATTCACTTGTCAGAGGTTTCATCACTATCTGTATGGCAGGGAGACAATCACAGCTGAAACCGACCATAAGCCCCTCGTGTCGATTTTTAAGAAATCACTCCTGAGTACTCCCAAACGTCTCCAAAGCATGATGTTGCAGCTGCAAAACTACAACCTGAATGTCGTGTACAAGCCTGGCCCTGAGATGTACATAAGTGATACGCTGAGCAGAGCAGCGCTTAACAAGCAGGTGTTCAATGAGCCTGGACTACTACAACGTGCTGTGAGCACCGTGGACAGCTCCGAGGCTGTGTTCTCATTCATAGATCAAGCACTACACCTCAACGTGATTGACACCAGTCTCAGTAAAATTGTTAATGAGACAAAAGCTGACGACGCTTTGCAGGTGCTGGCAAAGATCGTGCTAACTGGCTGGCCAGAGTGCAAAGAAGATGTGTCGCTCTCGGTGCGCGAGTACTGGCCCTTCAGAGATGAACTGAACATTCAGAATGGTGTGCTATTCAGAGGTCAGTGCGTTATTATACCGAAAGCACTGAGAGCAGAAATGCTGACTTGCATTCATGCCACTCATTGGAGGAGAGGCCTGTTACAGACAGGCAAAGGAAACGCTGTTCTGGCCTAATATGAGAGGCGAGATAAAAGATTATGTGGCCAACTGCTCTGCATGTAACGAGTACGCGCACAAGCAGTTAAGGGAAACGATGATGTCCCATGAGATCCCTGTCCGCCTCTGGCAAATTGTGAGTATGGACCTGTATGCGTACGGTGGCAGGGAATTTCTTATAATAGTGGACCACTGCTCGGATTGCTGGGAAATTGATCAGCTGACAGATCTGACAGCAGACACAGTCATGACACGCTGTAAAGTTCAGTTTGCACGTTATGGGCAGCCAGATCAGGTTATCCCTGACAACGGGCCGCAGTTCGCTTGTGAAATGTTCGGAAAATTCGCGGGACAGTGGGGGTTTGTTCATGTCACATCTTCACCCCAGCACCCCCAATCTAACAGAAAGGCTGAATCGGCAGTGAAGATCGTGAAATCGCTATGTAAGAGAGCAAAACTCGACGGGTCTGATCCATGGCTAGCAATCCTCCACTGGCGAAACACGCCCACAGAAGGATTAGACAGCAGTCCCGCACAGCGACTCATGTCCCGTAGACTTAGGACGGGACTTCCCATGGCAAACAGTTTGCTTTTCCCCAAGGTGGTAGAAGGAGTTTTGGAGAAACTGAGGTGGAAACGGCGCACGACGAAATTCCATTACAACGCGAGAGCGAAAAAGACCTCCCAGAGCTAAATGTCGGTGAACACATCAGAATGAGGCCCCTGCCTGGAGACCGCACGGGTCGGTGGCGAAGAGGCCAGTGTTTAGGAAAGGTGAATCCGCGGTCTTATGTTGTGAATGTGAATGGCACATTATACAGGTGCAACCGTGTGGATTTGCGGAGGGCCGAGCGTTCCGACCAGTTTAATCACCAAGAGGCAGGGCTCAGTGGCTAGCTACAGTGAAACGGCAATCAGAGAGGACGACACATCGGACATCACAGAGTGTGAGCCAGGGCAAATTCAGGAACGAAGGTGTAATGCCATACATGGCCTGTATCCTGTGATGGCGTTGTTGTGTTGGTTCACGCGCAGTTCGCGCAGAGGCCTGTGAATAAAGTCGCAGATTGATTCAGCTCATGCTTGTTTATTGCATCTAACACAAACATGGTGCCAGAAGTGGGCACTAAATCCTGAACATGGCCTTGAACAGCATTCCCGCTCCCGAGGGCATGCGGATGTCCGGAGATATATCCAAAAATTGGGATAATTTCAGAGCAGAATTCGAGGACTATGAACTAGCTACTGGGTTAGTTGAGAAGCCCAAAGAGGTGAGAGCGGGTGCAGTTCTGTTTATTAACCACTAGAGCGCCAACAGTTACATAGTGCTGCTTTAAAAGTCGTTCATAAATCTGCTCCGGTGGTCTTGTGGGACAGTAAAGGCCCCGCTCCAGAATCAAATCACTGATGGTGCTTTTTAAAATAGTGAGGGTGCTCTCTCTCTCTCTCTATATATATATATTTATTATCGGGGTCTGTTGCTATGGCACAAAGAGCGCTCAGTTCATAATCACTAAAAAGCTGTCACTCATCGTAGTTCATCGATCTCACAAAGATGCGTTATTATCAATAAAGTTCTCTATGCTGCACAATGAATCTCTTATTTACATTGCTTCAACACTTTGATATAATGAGATGAATGCTGAATACCTGAACAAAAACGCGTGGATTCTAACTTAAACGCATCTGATTCAAGAAATCAACAGATATGTCTGTGATTGGCTATGCTGCAAAAACACGTTGAAATAGAAATCGATCTCCAGAGCGCAAACCATACCGCACTGGAAAGTTTGCCAAATCTGCAATAAAATGCCATTAATACAGTTTTAACTGAGGGTGCTTTTTGATTTCGTTTCACCCCCGTAGAACCGGGCCTGAGTAAGTGTCTGTCGAATGCACGCTTCAGAATCTTGGTGGAGGTGGTCGTTCATCCGGGTACTTTTTGTCTACTGTTTTTCAAATATGAAATTGCATGCTTCCCTATTGTATACTACGTGAAAACCTGACAAAACAAGTATGTCCGAATTCAAGAGAATAGGCAAAAAAATACCCTGACAAATACTTCCAGCGAGACTCTGAAGTGATATGATGGACATTTTAGTGTCATTTGATTGCCATTCACCATAATTTGAATGAATATATATATATTTTTTTACCATAAAAAATCATTAAACAGATCAGTTTATACGTTTCGAAAATGTAATCGTGTCTTTTGGGCTGTGCAAGCATGACGGTGTACACTGAAATGAAATGTGCAGTGTTTATTTTAATGAGGAAAGCAGGCGCAGATAGAATATCTACTAACACGCAGGCGTTCTGACTCAGATGAGCACTTCTCGTGCTGTAGGAGGCGCTGTGAGCATATCTTAGTCCAGTAAATCCACCGGTAAAAGCGCTGAAGAAGGAAAGACGGTTGGAGCGCTTATAGTCTCGGTATGTGTTTGAACTATTTATGTGTTTGTTGTCTTTAGTGCGCTAATGAGCTTAAATGAAGCGTTCGTTATACAAATCTGTTTAGGAAAATTAACCTATAGGCTTTACTACAGTAACCAGAGTTTAACTTAGGTATTTGTAATAAAACCACATTAGGCTAAGCACAAATTTACCATTTTTTTACTTACAGTAATTACAGTAAAGCTGGTAAATTTGTGCCTGAAGTAAAAGTGTGCAGCATATAACCATATAACTATTGTTTGCTGGACACTTTTGAAGGATGCCTAAAATCGATTAAATCTCAGTCATAGTTCAGTTATGTTGTATAGTTTATTAAATGCAGCTAAATTGAAGTGTTAGATATTTTAAAAAAAATGATATATAGCTGATATTCTACTCAACAATGAACCTAAACAGATGAGTCTAAACAAATACATTTATATCTGACATCTTTCTGAATATTCTCCAGAAGTTAATTTTCTTTATTCAGTTCTGTGTAGTTCTGCTCTGATTTGTAGTTTGATCAGTATATTATAAATATTGTATATATTGTAATAATCGTGTGTGTGTGTTCAGATGTTGAGCATGAAAGCGCAGGTGGATGTGGTCTGCTGTAAATCAGTAGGAACTGATCTGTCCATGCTGGATATTGAGGATTTCATCACAGAAATCTGTCAGCTGAAGAAAGAGGTGGCTTCACTGGAGGCAAAGCTGAGAGAAAGAGGAGACAAACTGAACAGAGAGGTTTGAGCAGCTCTTCATTTCATCTTCAACTCAGTCACTGTCAGTTTGTCCAATAAAAATGTCTATAGCTTCTGTTAAAGGGTTAGTTCACCCAAAAATGAAAATGCTGTCATTAATTACTCACCCTCATGTCATTCCAAACCTGTAAGACCTTCGTTCATCTTCGGACACAAATTAAGATATTTTTGATGAAATCCAAAAGCTTTCTGACCCTCCATAGACAGCAATGCAGCTGAAATGTTCCCAGGCTCAGAAATATAGTAAGGACTTCGTTAAAACAGTCCATGTGCCATCAATGGTTCAACCGTAATTTTATGAAGCTACAAGAATTTTCTGGGCACAAAGAAAACAAAAAGAAGGCAGTGGCTATTTGCCGTTAAGTGTAAATAGTAATAGATTCTATTTAAGCCGCGGTCACACTAGACTTTTCATTCCATTGACTTCCATTCATACGCATGTGAATGCGTCAGATCGGAAACGCAAGCATGTGCGAAGATATTTCGCATTTCGCTGCATAGCAAAGTTCAAGTTTGTATGTTTTTACATTTTAGATGTATTATTATTGGTTATGTGTAGTGTTGTCACGGTACCAAAATTTCAGTATTCGGTACCAATACCAGTGAAAATCCACGGTTCTCAGTACCAATTTCGGTACCAAAGCAAAACACAAAAACATGCTAACTAAAAACTTGACTATACTTTTATTTAATCCAAACTGTGTACATATTTAATTTTAAATGGCTTTTAAAACCTTTTAGAGTTATTCAGCCAAGAATAACAGCTAAGTTATCTAAAAAAAAAGCCCAGAACTGCTTTTCTGACTGATATGACACAATGTTAACCATTTGTACATTCTCTAACACGCATATTTTAGATTCACAATTCATTTAAAAGCCTCTGGTGTGTAAAAATAGTAAATATCATCATGTCCTCCTGTTTTTTTTTTATCCTAATAAAAGTTATAGGAGCATTAAATAGTTTAAAAAAAAACTTCATTCTAATGCTCATTATTAGCGTTAGCCGCGCTTATGCTAGCGATTAACTACTCTAATAACAGCGATGTTCATTTCAATCTGACATTGAAATTAAAATATTGAATAATATTCATAACAGAAGCGGTGTTTCGCCCAGACTTGCACTCTATTTGTGGCGGCATATATATATGCAAATTCATTCTCTGCCAGCAGGAGGCGCTGTTGGAGTGGGAGAGATAGAGGTTTCCACAGTAACAGCTGTAATCAAATAAACGCTGCGCTCACACAAAAGCTGCTCAGGCATTACAGGCAAGATGAAATTAAAATGACATCCATAATTTTCTGAAGACACCCGCACCAGGTTTCGACTTTGACACGTGCAGTGCTCATGTTTACGAAGTCAAAGCCTTTTGGAAAATCTATTTGTGGCGGTCAGTTTTGATATTGTGGCGGGCCTCCACAAATAAATCAATGTATGGGAAACACTCTAAATATTAAAAATTAAAATGAAACTTACCTGCTTGAACTCCTTCATTTGATCTGGGTGTCTGTCTTTAAAGTGTTTTGTTAGTTTGATGTGTTTCCTCATTTTGAGGTCGCCATGCCTCAGTGCTTTTATGAAGAGAGCGCATCTGCACACCTTTCGGATAGCGCATCAAGAACCGGGTTGACCGGGTACTCGGTACCACCGGTAATTAAAAAAACCTGGTACCGTAACATTTTCATTTTTTTTAGTACCGACTTGGTACCGAAGTACTGGGTCTTTTGACAACACTAGTTATGTGTTTAATTTAAGTTTTTAAAAAGATGCTGCAGAGCATGACGTCATATCACGACCTTTGCAGCATGCGAGGGAATTTTGCTCAAAGTCTAGTGTGATCGCGGCTTTACACTATGTTAAAGTAGCAGGATTTTCTACTATTTAAACTACTTATTGCAAATAGTGGCAATTATCTGCACCTCAGTATTGTAGTACTATAAAACACAATGCAATAATAACGTATTGAGTGTAAATTATTATTTTAATTCAAATTATTAAATGGAAGCCACCTTATTGGGACAATATAAGCCCTCCCTACCCTAACCCTACCCGATACTTTATTTTCAACTTTTTGATTATTTGCCCTGACCAGACAAACCAGAGGACACTGCTACCCCTGCAGCACTCCAATTATTTCTTATTTTCCCACACTCCCCATCTGACTGGAAGAGGTGGAGGTACTGGTCTGCTTATCTCTAATGATTGGAAATGTATTCCTTTACCTTCTCTGGTTATCAACAGCTCCTTTGAATCACATTCAGTCACTATTACCCACCCTTTTAAAATCCATTTTGTAGTTGTTTATCGACCCCCAGGACCACAAGGTAACTTTGTGGAAGAATTAGATGTTCTGCTCTCAACCTTTCCTGAGGATGGTACTCCCTAGTTGTGCTTGGAGACTTCAACATTCACCTAGATAAACCTCAGGCTGCATACTTCCACACTCTTCTTGCCTCTTTTGATCTCAAAAGAGTGTTAACTACGGCTACTCACAAATCAGGCAACCAACTGGACCTTATTTACACAAGACACTTCTCCACTGATCATGTGCTGGTTACTCCACTGCACACCTCAGATCACTTCCTCCTCACTCTTAACCTCAACATGGTTCCTGACACAACACATACCCCTACACATGTCACTTTTCGACGTAACCTACACTCTCTCTCACCCTCCCGGCTATCTGCTATGGTTTCATCTTCGCTTCCTTCCCCTGAAAAGTTATCATCTCTTGATGTTAACTGTGCTACTGATACTTTCTGCTCCACTCTTAC